GTTGGAGGTGCCAGTCGGCCTTGTCTAATTTTACGAGACGGCGTGTGGATCAGTGGAGCCGATCACCCCCGCCTCCCACTCCACCCCACGCCACACAAATGTATTTTGACCATGCGTGGGCGTCAAAGAAACACTGCGCATCAGTCACACAGAACAACCATACAGTTGAAGGTGTCAGTAACTCCTTCGTAGCAAACCCTTTCAGGCTCAGTCCCAGTGTGGATAGAAATATGTGACATGAAGTCAATGAGCTACTACTACGGGATAACCGAATAGTATTCAGAAGCTGCCAACAGCGCGTTATTAGTATACACTGCGTAATTATTTCCTCCCATACTGGTACTGTAGCTAAAAGCCCAGACCAATTTGTTTCATATTGTTACCTCTGGCTGGTCAACTGGATTCAAGTTCGTTGATAAACACTCACCGCCCGCTAACGGAACTCGATCGACCCGTTCTGACTCAGTCTCCAGCCCCACCAGCAGCCATGCAGAGAAACTCTGACGAAAAAGAAAAGCTAGACTGGAATGGGCATTTCTAGATCATTAGCCGTCATCAGTCAGTCATACTCAACCCCATGTGGTGTCCTATCCGAGACTCGAACCCGCGACCTTGTTGGCTAAAAGTCCAACGCTCTAACCATTGAGCCACGGGCTCGTTGCCTTGTCCGGTTTGATTGGCAATATTGACGTTCTTTGATGAGCGCTGCGGTGGAGTTCCGTTACTGATCGGTGAGCGTTCACCAACGGACTTGAAGTGGGCTGGCCCGACAGAGGTTACCGCTTGAAGTGAGTTTGAAATCGAGTTAAGAAGACTTTCTCTCTCTTGCTTTATTTCTCTCATCACTAACCCTGTTTTCATTGGGTTGTGCCAGGTCCTGGCGCAACGCCAGCGCCTGAGTATACTCCGTCCGAAAGGTCGATATGAGTGTCCAAGCTGAAATCAATCAACTTCTGTGACTGTGCGTGGGCTCTCTGATTACACGCATATACACATGAGCTGTCTACGAAACATTGCGTATCAGTCATATGATAGTCATTCAGTGGACGGTATTCCGTCCTCCAATCGATTCATGTTGACTATCACATGGCCTTTAATGTTCTCAGTGACAGCCGTCACAGCTTGAATGCGTTTGTAGGGCGTCTAGATCAGTGAACAATCAGTTACAGGTCAGGTATTCCCGACGAGGACTGAGAGGTATGGCTGATGATATATAAGGCAGACGTGCTTACTGCAGTGAATGAACTGATTTTGGGCTGTCCGAAAAATCACTCTATTAAAAAAATAGAAGACTTTAGGCAGTATGGTTTTTTACTGATTTTTTTGTGATGCCTTTATAAATTTAAAGTGGTAGGAAATACGTTCTTGGGGAAAACGGGGTAACTTTATTCAGTAAGTGTTCGCCGTCGGTTCCTCAGATTGTCGTCAAACTTGACTTACCGTGTTTTCCTTATTATAGGACGCCCTTCAATGCCTGTAATTTTCTCAAAAACGACAGTGCGCCTTATAACCCGGAGCGCGTTATTTAGCGATTACTTCCGGTTACTGACCTCAAAGTTATTTTGTGCGGCGCTACGTTAACCCGTAGGTAGGAGCAATACTGTGTACTGTGTTTCACCATAATATGGCAGTGTGTGTATGGACTCCAAAAACGGCATCTGTGTTACAACTGAACGATGTTGAGAGTTATTATGAATGTATGCAATAATTTGTGACTGAATGACTTATCTGACTGTTTTGTCTCCCTTAATGGACCTCATAGTCCGATGCGCTTTATATAAGAACATATTTGAAGAAAAAAAGCATTCATTAACAGTGCGCCGTACAGTGCAGAAAGTAAGGTATTTTGCGGAGAACAATTAAACTTTCAAATGTGCTGTAAGAATCAATAGACGTTTTGTGTGAGCGCTAATTAGCCGCTGCTGTTTGCGTTAATTTGTATCGATCGGCCCTCGTCTCTTCCATGCTTCCTTGAGATTTTTGTACACAGCATCTAACTGAATAGTGTCACCTTGCTTTCCCAAAGAACCTATTTCCTGCAAATTATATTTTTGGGATGTCTTTCTTCCAATTCACCCGAATAAATTTAAGTATATTTTATAGAAAACATGTACAAAAAAATCTTCCTGCACCCATTTGATAGGCAGCTACGTCTTAAAAGAAAGTACTAGAGGAAGGAGAAGTTTGGAGTTTTTGGAATTTTTCTGATTCTATCTGTGGATTACGCCTCAGGATATATATTGCAACCCTACTTTGCCAATATTTCCGAATCGGAAAGAACCGTTTCAGGGTGCATGAGGTAGTACATTTACTGTAGGCTCGATGAAAAATACGGCCAATGTAGCTTTTACCCCTGACACTGGGAAAACAACCTCACCCTTGGGTGTGTTATATGCTCTGTCACACGGAGTTGTCTTCTTTCTTCATTCCCAGAATACAACAACGCCTTGCGCGACACTCCGGCCTTCTTCTCGTCTCTTCCGTGCAGACCGCTGGCAAGGGTATGTGATTTTCTTGCACTCCTATCCCCCATTACCTCTCCGCTACAATCCCCCTCCTCCTCCCGTTCACCTTGGATCGTTGCCTCTTGGGCTTACTCCTTTCAGCATGTTCTAACCTGTGCGGAGGGAATTTTGTCAAATTTGGCTAATATATTTGATCGAATTATGAAAAAACTTGACGGCTTTGGTGGGATCGGAAACCAGGCCAGCAAAGGTCAAGTCAAGTTTATTGAAGGAAATATAGGCAAACGCCTTTGAACTCCCTATTGGTAAATATTATTTAAGAAATGCATCGACACAGCCGGACATTTCAAAGAAGTCGTTTGCATAATTGTAGGCGACTGCTCCCTTGTTTCAAGTAGTACACTCACATGTGG